CAGCCTGATATCCCATTTCCTAGAAAATTCAAGGAGCTATTGGTAAAGAAATATGAAACTCTCTATGCTGCTCAGATGGAAATGAGAGGGTTGAATGCTGAAGAGGAGCTTGAGAAACTGAGAGCCAAGGCTAAAGTTTCAGAAGTCAAGGAGCTGGACATCAAGAAGCTTGGAGATTCAGGTTGCTTCACACTCCTTGTGAGCTTAGAGGCAAGACCTTCAAGAGCTGTTTGTGTGATCTAGGAGCAAGCATCAATCTGCTACCAGCTTCTACTGCTAAGGAGTTAGGCTACACAAATTTCCAGCAAAGCAATGTCTCTCTTACCATTGCTGATGGGGCTGCGAAGACGCCCTTAGGAGCTCTTACAGATGTTCCTATGAAGATTGAAGGAGTGGCTATCCCTACTAACTTCTTGGTGCTGGATGTGGAAGGGCAGATTAAGAAAGCCATCATACTTGGAAGACCATTTCTATCTTCAGCTGGCGCCATCTTTAGTACTAGGGAATGCACAACTGAGCTGAGACTTAGTAAAGATAAGTTCTTGAGGTTTGACAGCAAAGGCAACAAGCTGGAGCATGATCCTGCTTTCTCTATGGAAATGAAAAAGGTGAAAGGCATTGGCAAAAACTGGCCAGAGCTTGAGGGCTACCAAGGAGAGAGTTTTGATAACTGCTGTTTATCAAAGCTGTTTGAAGACACCACTGAAAAGGAGGTCCTTGAAGTGGTTGGTTACAAGAATTTGCATGAAATCAAGTTGGTTACTAAGGGATGAGAGGTGGTTTTGCAACCATGTGACTCAAAGGTGGGTGAGGTTTGCTTCAAGATGCAGCAAGAGGGGAAGACTATGCCTTTTTCTAAGATCAAGCTGAATGGAGTCACCACCAGGGTCAAGGGAAGCACGACAACACCAAGGAGTTCCAAGACTCCTTCTCCTCACCTACACTAGCGAGGTAATCAAAGTCAAGCAAAGTGACTCTAAACAAGCACACTTGGGAGGTAGTCCCATGGTATCCTTAGTAAATATTATGCTTTTTAGTTCATTTTTATGCATTTTAATGTCTTTAGAAGCAGGAGTTTGATTTGGGACTTCAGAAGATGTTTGGGGAAACAAGAACAGAGGCATCTTGGCTACTATCGGTCACCGTATCGGTCTAGACCAGATCGATACAGACATATCGGTTTGACTATCGGTCATAAAGTGATCGATGGTTGTGGAGCCAAAGATGCATCGGTCAACGTATCGGTTAGTTATGACCGATAGGGGGAAGGGAGTGCAAAGTGCTGATCTTATCGGTCATCCTATCGATCAGAATATGACCGATGAAAATGCATCGGTTGTATATTGGTCACTTTATCGGTCAAGAATGTGACCGATGGAAAACAATCGGATGTATTTCGGTCACTCTATCGGTCAAGAATGTGACCGATATGATTTAGCAGGAAAACCATCGGCCAGGCCATTGATCTCCAGGTGATCGATAACACTTATCGGTCAAGCTATCGGTCATAAAATGGCCTATAGTCCAGCGAAGTCAGTTCATCATTTTTCAAAAAAATTTCCCTCTCTTGGCTTGGAGCCAAAAAAGTTTAAATTTAAATTTTTGGCTCATTCCTGCCACCCAACTGCAATTCTGAGCACTTTTGTTTTTGTCCCCCACCCATTTGATTCCTTTGGTTCCCCATTAAGCTCTATAAAAGCCAACAAGCTCCTCTTCTCTCTTCACACTTCATTTTCTCTCTTCTCTCACCTAAACCACGAAAATTTCTAGCTCTCTCTCTCTCTTTTTCATTTGTCTCTTAAGTGCTCAGAAGTTCCACAAAGGTTTGCTTTCTCAACTGTTCATCTCTTGTTCTTAAACTTTGAGTTTATTTAAAGTTGTTAAATCTATGGCTTTTAGAACTAGATTTGGTTATTTTAAAGTGTTTTGCTTTGATTTTGCATGGTTGAAATGATTATTCTGAGCAAGTAGGATGTTTAAGTAGTGTCTACTGTTCATAAATCTTATTTCTTACTTGTTTTAATCTCACTTTACATAATCATCTTTACCTTTGTTTAGAGCCACCATGCTAGGTTCACATGCATAAATGTTTGAATAACATTAAGAACTCTAGTATGTTTATGATTGTTAGCTTGAAGACTCTCTTAGTGTTTTGAAAGTTTAATCTTGTTTAAATAGTAGTTAAACTTCTTTCAGCTTAGAGAGATTGTTTTTAAAGCTTTTAGTCATTGTTTCTCAAATTTTGTTCTTTTACTCATAGCATCTTCAAGCTTTGCTCTTATAGGTACCATGGGGAGAACAAAAACTGCTGCTGGAAGCAAAAGGAAAGCACCACAAGAGGAAGCGCCAACTTCTCCAAGCACTAGAAGAGACAAGGGTAAAAGTGTTGCTGATGGGCAGTCATCAAAGGGTGTTGGAAAGAGGCCTGTTGGGAACAAAGCTGCCAAGCCAAAAGGAAAGGTAAAAGCTGTAGAAGAAGAAGTCCCATACAAGGATCCAAAAGAAGGAAGCCCTAAAGTAATGGTAAAAGTGTAATAAAATACAGGTTCGGACCAACTGACCGATAGGGTGATCGATAGGGATCCGATCGGTCTAGAAGATGACCGATAGGGTGACCGAAATACATATGGTACACTTATGTCGTTCACTTCTCTGACCGATAGGTCTGGTCGATAGTCCTTCTATCGGTCACTCCTTGACCGATAGGCCTTGTGTCTTGATCGATAGGCTCTGCAGAGATCGTCTGCCTTGGTCCCTTTTGCTCCTCTTGGCCCAGCTAGCTTCCTAGATCACCCTCAAAGCTTCTCCATGCTCCTTATAGCTCCATAGGTACCTAAAAACATCCATAATGCATAGAAAATACAAATTATATCCTAAATACAACCTAAGTCTAAAAAGAGAAGAAAATGGGACAAATGATAAGGAAAACATGCAAAAGAGAACCAAAACATGCACTAAATGCAAGCCTAAATGGTGTAAAAACAAGAGATATCAAGCAGTGAGGTGGTTGGTGGTATGTATGAATGTGCGGGTCAACCATCTATCCGTTCTTAGGATAAGTAAATATGGTAAAATTTATTTTAGTTTAATTAGCAATAGGCTAAGAGAAAATGTATACTTAAAAATATATATATTGGCAAGAGAATATTGTATAAGGAGAAAAGGAAAGTATAGAATAGATAATATTCAAAACTTATTATAAAAATTTAATTATTATTTAATATAACTTTTACATTTACAATTATATGTTACTGTAAATGTTAGGAAAATAAAAATAAATTCAAAAGACACAAACCAATTGGAAACGTTTGTGTGATTGTTGTTGAACACTAAAACTGTATATGTATAAAAACGTAACGTTCATATAATGTATAAGAAAATTAATGAATACTTAAATATTACAACTAATTATATCTATTAAAAAAATTATACATGTACATGGATTCAGGCCAAAAATAAAATTAAATAAATAATTATATTTTTAATGTTTTCCCGTTTATTTAGTTATCATATTTACTTTTTTTATCTAAGAAAATATTTTAAAATCTTAATTAATAATTTTTATGTTTATTTTCTATAAAATTTTATATTATTTTATATTTAATTTATCGTGATTTTCTATTATTAAATGATTATAATTTTATTATTAATACATAATTAATCATATACAAATAAAACATCTTCAATACTATATTAATCGTAATTGAATATATCAAATGTTTTATAGCTTGCACATGGTACAAGCCGATCACCTAGTTAACATTAATTTCTGAATTATTTAAATAATTATCCATAAAATAAAATAAAAACCTTATTAACATATATACGAATAAAATAAATAATATCAACTTTATTGGACAACAAAAAAAAGTTGTATATCTCATGAAAATAGAAAATATGATCAAATCACATATGATTTTTTTTGAACCAAAAAAGAAAGGCATACTTTATTTATTGAAATATCTTTTATGTGTGTATAAGAGAAAATATCATGAGATTTGATCACACAAATATTACCCACAAAATGACACTGAGCTGAAGCTGTAAGCTAGTGAGTTTGTGAAATGAGCCTCTTTATTTAATAATTAAAGTCTAAAATAACAGATCATCGTGTTTGGTCATAGTCGCCAACAATTGCCAAAGGAAATAAGGAATATGACTTAAATCTAATACATTGGCAATGAGAGACTCGGCCAATGCCTATCTTTGAGAAGATCTAGTTTGATAATCTATTTTGTTTGTTAGTTCAAAAACAAATAATCTCATTTGTTGTGTTGTGATTCACCTATACCTAAAATCGAAGATAATACCGAATGACGAAGGAAAAAAAAAGCGAACAATTATGTTTTAATGATGCAATTCATAGGGCTATAAAGATGGTTTCATAAGAGAAAGAAAACACTCCTATCACATTGTAAGACGAACCATATTACATTTCATTTCATTTCATTTCATTTCATTTCACATTATTTTTTTCTTTCATTTCACAACTTTTACTAAAACTAAGTGATGACCCGCGTATACACGCAGAACTATATTTTATATATTTGATGATTTGTTAATACTATGATATTTTATTTTAAATATAGTGATAAAATATTTTTAAAATCATTAAATATATAATAATAATTAATATAAACACTCTTTCACTTATAGTTTTAAATGTTATTTTATTTTAAAATTATTTTCCATATTATTTTTTGTTTGAGAAAGATTTGTCCAAATTTTAATAGAATTCAAAATTTTGGTTAAAAAAAATAGTTTTTGAGAGATGGAGTTTAAAGAACTTTTAAAATTTTGAGATTCTATAATTATTGATTTATAGATTTTTAAAATCTTAATAAAATCTATTTATTAGTTTAAAGATTTAAAAATTCCATCCAAAATCCTTTATAAGTCAAAAAATTTAGTTTCTTTTTTAAGATTATATGTTTTATTAAAATTTTATGTTATTGAAATATGGATTTTAAACAATTTAACTCATAAAATAAAACTTAAAAAAAATTTCAAAATACTATCTATATGGCTTAGATTTTTAAAGTTAATATAATAAAAACAATTTGACGAATTTTCTAATACAAACTATTTCAAAATTTAGCAAATCTTTTTTCTGAAATTTAACAAATCTGTAAACTTTTAAAATATGTTTCCCACTCACTTTCTCATATCCACCTAATACCCTTCACTAAATTTCCCTAAATTTGTATTAAGTTGTATTTAATCAAATTTCTATGATCATATCTATATAATTTTATGTATTTATTTACAAACTTTCGTGTTAATTTTAAGTTTATTGGTTGCAAGAAATGGAAATTTAAATTTATCAGTTGCAAAAAAACTATTATATAAAATAGGACTACACACATCCACTACATATGTTTTGAACTACAAAAATAAATAAATTAATAAGATATGAGTAGTGTATACAATATTTAAATAAGCTTTAGAATATGACATAATTTTATAAAGCAAAGCTGTTGATGTAAAATCAGTTGGATGGAGAAGTTAAGACAGAAAGCTAGAACACCCGAGCTGAATATGATGATGAGAGCCGACCATGGAGACGGGTGTGCTTCGAACCAATCCAAGATTCCGTTGCCTTCAAGTAAAATTGCTGGTAAACCGAGAATCATGGTCGCAAATGGCGCCATATAGTACACTGTGTTTATGCTAAACAGATAGAGAGACATGAACAATGAGGAGGAAACAAACACTCAGTTCCATAAATTAGAGACAAAAGCAGCAAAATTTCAAATCTTTACATATATATACATAGAAGATTATATCTGAGTCTGCAATTGGGAGTTTCCTACTTTTAACAAAACCATCATATGAAAGTGAAGATGGAAACTTCAGGGAACAGAAGACTGACATGTCGAATTTGTAACCGTGAAGAAGAGATTCCGCAAGAATGGTCTTTGTAGAGGTAGCTAAACAACCAAACAAAGCAGCACAAAAACCAAACACATTAAAGCTAAGTTCTGTAATAGAAGTCAGAAGGATCCCACCGACAATTGGAACCAACGACGCCCAAATACGCCAGTCGAAATATTTCCTCCATACCATCCACCGTAACACAACTGCACTCCAAAAAATACATTTTACACTATGAAACCAATCAGAGTAACAACAAACAAAAAACAAAATCATTATTTTTGAAAAAATCCACAAACCTGTTGTTGCTGGAGTGAAGGATTTGATTGCCTGCATAAAAGAGACAGGGATGTATCTAAGACTGATGTTTCCCAAGATAATGTTGATACAGAATACGACCGACATTGGGAAAATCCTCTTCCATCGATCTTCTGGATCAATAACGATCAATGGTTTTATCTTCAGGACTCTGATCACAATGTAAGCTCCAATCGGTGTACATATGAAATGAACGCACGAAACGGACAACGGAAACTTGAAATCCAGTTTCTGCAAGAAACCAAATTTTCAAACACAGATCATGAGATCAAAAGAAGGAAGTAAACAAAAAAACGAAAAGCCACTAATTTGTAAAGAATGATGAAAGTAAGAGATTGTGATTACCTGGAAGATCCATTTGTTCATGATGATAACGGTAACGTTAAAACCCCACCATTTGAAGAATCGATAGCAGAGATCTGAACATACTCCATTGATGCCATTGACTTCCCTCCTCCATTATCTCTTTCTCCGTCGTAAATTCCCAGAATATATTGACAAGTGAATCAGAGAGAGAGGGAGAGAGAAGAGATAAAACTTAGGAATCTGGGCAGGAGAAGCTGAATAGGTAAATGAGGAGGGAAGAGAGTAACGGAAGCAGTAAGTTCTGCTTCTCATGCGATTTTGTTTCGGGTTCTCCTCTCTTTTTTTGTACTCCATCAATCTTAAAACGTCTTTCTCTCTCGTTGCCAAGAATATATTGTTTTGCTCTTTCGTAGGTTTCCTTGCTCTTTCCCAGGTTTCCACAACCTCCACTCCACTATAGTGCATTTCAGTTGGATGAGAAGCTCATAACCTCTGGTAAAATCGTGATGGATAGAGATCTTGAAATTTGCTATCGATATGCAATGATTGAACCCCTATAAAGTGTTTTAGAAGATTATAAAGATTAGAAAGACATAGAATATTCATCATTGATATTACTCAACTTAGAAGTGCGATGAATGATTCAAACAGACCAAGTCTGAACTTATCTTCTTTATCCAAAAAAAAGTCTTGAACAACTCGGACAAACATCTCAGGAATCCGCCTCGTTAACTTCCCCGCTAAAAGAATCTGTAGAAGAATATAAGAAGCGATTTAATTGACACAGATAATAGTAGGGATTCATCGGTTTGATGAGAGATAAGGAAAATGATTCACAGATTCTTCTGTGAAACGATTTGGTTCACAGATTCAGGTCGGAGACTTTAAATTCCAAAATCTTTCACTGCCATCAGAAGTCAGTCATATTTGTCTCAATCTCACAACTCGAATCAAAAGCAACATCCAATTGACATTTACGAACAAAAAAAAAACAGAATATGGGAAAGGAGCGACCTGACGGAGACTTACGCTTGTTCTAACAACCCGGAAAATGGTCGCTCTCAAGAATATCTTCTTCCCAAGCATCGATCCATCTCACCTGATCTGAATCTTTCGGTATCCAACAAAATTCGACACATAATTCTCACCACGCAAGTTCCAAAATTCAACAAAGCAAAAAAAAAAAATATATATATATATATATATCCAGCGTTAACCCCGACTCCCACAGAGGAAAAGGAAAGGGAAAAAAATAGAATATTTGGGATAGATGAAGAAAACTGATAAGCTTGAGAATTGATTTCACACAGAGCCATAGAGGAAAATTCACAGAGAAAGCGGAGAATAAGAGAGAAGAAATTAGACGCCTATTTTGTTGGATTTTTCTTATGTCTCTTTGATTTCTGAAATGAAAGTTATGTTTTTAGGGAATTGAAATAGTGTAAAGAAAAGAGACGAATCATAAATTCATACCAAAAATAGTCAAAGCTGATGTGTCATGAAAAGGAAAGCTGATGTGTGAAACTCTTGTGAGACACAAGTGAATTTTTATATAATAGATTTTATACAAAAGTACAATGAACTTTCGATGAACGTAGGTGATGCTCTTAAATATTTTGAGCCCAAACACGTAGCCCATTCCATTGGTCGATCTCGTAATAGCAAAAATGGATGTTGAATCTTTGTTAGTCAAGCCTTTCAAATTATGGTTAAGTGAACATTTTGAAAATGGTTCGTAACTTCCACAGGCAACAATTTTTTGGTGTATATTGGTGCTTATTTGTTAGACTAAAAATTATTTGATGTCTCGACTTTTAAACCTGAAATACATTTTACAAGTGCATGGATTATAACCGCGGTCAAATCCACAAAACTCAAGAGGTTCATATACTAGAAATTTGTAAATCATAACTAATCTTGACCAGAATATGTTTATGGGTTTTTGGTTTCCTCAAACATAATAAATAAAGAAATCAAAAGGCAAAACCAAAATGTAAACAATACATAAGCAATAAGATAGACTGATAGAGCATATCTAGGATTTCGTAAACAAAATCCTAAACATGATGATAAACTCTGGGAATCTATGCACATATATAAAGAAATAAAATCGGGTTAAGTCAATATCTTTGATTCCACTACTAGAAGTTAGAGACGGAATATTTAGTCTTTAGCAATAAAAATTTACATTGCTAACACTTTTTGAACCTTCTGAAGTTTACGAATAAATCATCATAACGAATTTAATTGCCCCATGGATTGGCTAAACATTTGATAGTTTTTTTTTTGCGCTTTCTGACTGAGTTGAATTTCATGGTTCAGTGATCGCTTGAAACTTTTTTTCAGTCACTAACTACTAACTAGAATTCTTTGGATACTCCTTAGATAAACAACTTTCTTTTTAACTTTTTGAATGTAATAATTTTTTTTAATATATGTTATTTTTAATATATGTTGGAGGTGGGTTTAGCATCTTTTTACTCTAATACTGAGATCACAGCAAAAAGCCCACCTAATCCACGAGAGTCACCAATTTTACTTTACTATAAATATAGAAATATTGTTCATTAATTACATTATCGAAATTTGAACTCTAAATATTTATTACTAGGTGGTTGGCCCGCACGCATGTGCGGATATAAGTTTTTTGATAGATATATAGTTAGTAGTAATATTTAAATATTGATTAGTTTTTTTATACATTCTGCAAACTTTATATTTGTATACATATGTAGTTTTAGTGTTTAACAATAATCGCACAAACGTTTCATATTATTTTATGCCTTTTAAAACTGATTTATTTAAAAAAAAATTAATTTAAAACGTTACAATGACATATAATTACAAATGTAAAAATAATATTAAATAATAATTAAATTCTTTCATTTTCTAAAAAAATATTATCTATACTATACTTTATTTCCCATTTACATAATATAATCTTGCCAATACATATATATTTTAAATAGATAAATATTTTCTTTGACCTAGTTCAAATTAAACAAAAATGGATTTTACCATCTTTATTTATCTTAAGAGCGGTAAGGTGGTTGGTTCGCATGCATCAAATAGAGATTTAAAGAACATAAGTTGTCTAATAATTAAAATTAATAATTAGACTGTAATCAAGGTTAACAAAATACATGCACGACAAGTTCGCATGCAACTTTGACTATTGCGCAATTAATATTCATATTCTCACGCATATTTGTAGAAAAGTTGAAGTATAGCTTTTATAAATTAAAAGAAAAAGTATATGTTTTGTCATATAAATGTTTATAATGTATGGTTGACTTTTAAAATTAAATAAATATGTATATACAGATTAAAAATAAGTTAATTGTAATATTTAGGTATCGGTTAATTTTTTTGATAATTTCCGCAAACGTTATGTTTTTACACTGTGCAGTTTTTGGTGTTTAACAACAATCACAAAAACTGTTTCTATTGTTTTGTACTCAATCCAAGTTTCTTATTTTTCAGCGTTTTCGATAATCGAATGTTTTAAATTAAAAATTATTAAATATTAAAATAATAATGAAGAAATTTTTTTAAAAAATATATATAATGTTTTACTTTACACCATGAAAATAAATATACTACATTAGATAATATATTTATATATACATTAATTTTCTCTTTTCAATAAATATTTGTTATACAATTTGTGAAATGATATTTTATAAAATTCTATGGTAGCTCTCCGGTCATCTTTTCTTTCATTATTGAGAAATTTGGTTTGATAAATTAAATAATTTATTTTAGGGTTGGCCTGCACACATATATTCATTATAAATTTCGAACTTCACATGAATTCATTATAAAATTTACATCTTAATATTTTTAAATGACTCCATAAAATAAAGCACGAGAGTTTTATGAAAAATCAAAATTGTAGATTTATTTTTATTTTTAATTTTACTTCTACTTCTTACTTATATTTATTTCATCTTATTATAATTTATTTTTTCATCTGCTTGTTTTTCATTTTAATTCTGATCTCAAATTTTTGATCTACAATGACAATGCATTCACCTATATATAAATAAGATTTATACAGTTGTTTGGATATGAAAAATAAATAAGTGAGAATATAAGATAGTAATGGAAGCTCTACAAATTCTAGAAAATAATAATTTTGATATTTTAAGAAATTTGTCATGTTCGTTGTTATTAATTATATTAAACTAATAATTTTGTATTTTTCATAATTATATGGTTTTAATATTTTTATAAATATATAATGTAGTTATATTGTTAATTTATTTTTTAATTTTTAATGCATCTGTAAACCCATCAATCAATATTTTTTAATGCACTTATTTTCAAATGTTATGGCAGTTGTACAAACAGTTTGATAATGTTTTAACTACAAGCTCATGTTTACGTAAACTCGTGGAATCGTAACTGCTACTGCCGAGTTTAAATCAATCAGGCATTTAATTCATTGAAACTATTTCAATGATCTAAGAGCATTTGCATTGTTTAGAGACTTATTTGGGTCTTTCATCCAATATAATATGAATATTATAAATATAATTTAGATTTGAAAAAAATTGAACCAATCATAATCTTTTATTTGAAAGACTCATTTCATTTTTTCTCCTTTTATTATTACTAATGTTTTGCCTATACTACGCATGAATTATATAATTATATTGCAGTTTTATAAAAAGTTGTCAATTAATTTTGTGTATAATATTGTGATCAATTGTAGAGTAGTGTATTTGCAAGTGATTCTTAAATATAATTGAGTAAAGTAAATATCAGAGGGATATATATATATATATATATGAAAAATGATAGAAATTTTTGTATAATAATTTGAAAGTATATCAATATATTTTTTTGGCTTAGTTGAACTTTTTTTAAAGAGTTAATGTACATTTTTTGCAAATATGAAAGGTAAAACTTGACCATTTTGTAATATCTGCAATTTTGATGTGTGTTTTGTTATATTTTTATGTGAATAGTATTTACATGAACTATATTATATTAGAAACATGTTATCTAATATAAATTTAGATATTTTACGTTATAATGTCATTTCTTTCGTGAACACTATGAATATTTTTTCACACTTTCAAAGACTTTTTGCATAATCTTCTCTTTCCCTTAATACTTTTATAAAGAAAAATTCAATCTTTACTACATTTTTGTTTCATACTATACCTTAGGATTTTTTTTTAATTTAATTTTCATAGCATTTCTATACTTATCAATTTTTAAAGACTCAGTGTGTACACAGATATTTTATAATTAGTTCATATATTCAACAAAGAAAACAAATAGCGATTAATAAGAAATTTCTTTATTATATGAGTTCTTTATTAATTGATATAATATTAGTTTGA